AACTTGGGTGGGTGAAACGACACCAGTATCACGCTTGCACAGTTTACGCATGGGTGGGTGTCGGCTCCAACACCAGTCTGCAGGGTGTCACCGCGATCGTGGAAAACACTATATCACTAACCAAGATCTTCCTACCTGACAACATACACTTCATGGGGTGAAGTTAACCCCTGAACTATTATCAGAAAACCAGTTGGAAATTATATCGTAATAGTATTATAGCAATGACCAGTCATCGCCCCAACGCTACACTTAACGACCCTAGGGGACACGGAGGGATTCGACCAGCCTGGTGAGGAAGGTGGCTCATACATCCTACACTTGAAAGACAACGCGATGTATAGGCGGCAGCATTGGTCGATCATCTACCCAAGCCCACACTCGAGGGCTTAGGGGACACGGAGGATTTGATCAATCTGGTGACGACATATACCTCCTACACTTGAAAGATTAACGTAGTATAGGCGGGTGCCGTTATTTTATTTTAAAGAGCCTGAATGGTTACTCAACTTAACCCTCGCCACCTTATATCTCATTAGACAAAGATGGTTATGTCTCTGAAATTAAGAACAACGGTACCTTGATCACGCCTTTCATTCCAACTGGAAAGGTGATACTTTCTGACTCAATATTTACCTAGGGACACCCTGTTAATTTCCCCAGGCAATCCCAGTTAATAGCCACCCACCATCATAACATAGTAGGGGTTAGGGCTATGGAACCAGGCTCCACACTCATCGTAGAAGTCGCCACAAGGGTAAGTTTGATTCAAATGAACATATCCCATCCCCAAACTTGCAGATTTTACCCGTGTAACAATACGCTGGAGTGACATAACTGCAGGAAGTGGTTTTACACGCTGCAGATTCGCTTACGATTTGAAGCTCCCAACAGGGATTACTACCCCCAATAATATACTGCTTTGGCGCTGAGATATACCAAAAGTTACCTATTGACCCTTCCCTTATCTACATATAACGAGAATCTCAGTTTTATAAACCTCAGGTACATTGACCGACTACTAAATGAAACCCAATTAAAATATCTTTGTAATATATATTATAGGATGGGCTGTACCCAGTCATAGAGGAAGTAGCGAAGACCCTGGAAACCGTGAGATCGGTTCCGCTTTGAGGCAGTTATGTGATGTGAAACGCCAACTAGAACAAGACCGCTGACACACGAAAAGCACTATGTAAAAGTACCATAGAGCTTTCAATATCGTGGACGGGCTGACACTGCCCTTATGGCAACCAGCATGGGACTAGGGCGCAGGTGTTGGGTTGTTAGCTACCATCGGCTGCACCTATAGTGCTAGGCATTGAAATAACAGCTGGGGTGGCAGGGGTGTTAGGGTTGGCGCTTAAGTTGGCATCACGCAGACTGCATCGTAAGGCATTGAAACATGATGGGATCAGGGTTCTGGCAGAAGCAAAGCTGAACACAGTAAGTGAGCCGTATTTCCACTGCACTCACTGACAGTAAGATCTCAGAGGAGGAATTTCGCTCAACCTCTCTGAACTCACAAAATATAACGAAATGAAACAAGAGATCTGGTCCAAGTCTCGTAAGTCTGCTATCAGCGAGGATGATAAAAAGTACATAGAACAAGGTGTGAAAAAAGCCCGGCAAGCCTTTATTACAAACACCAAAGAGATCATAGGCGATTCACATTAAACTGTTTCATCGAGGTAAACATAGCATAGTTAGACGCAGCCCAGTATTGGATGGGGCAATACCCGTTACTTCCCCCATGCCCCCGGTAGCGCGGCTAGGAGGTGCGTTCGCATCCCCCAACTTTTGTAGTAGGGGTAATGGTAGCAAGAGCTAAGGGTCCGACCAAAGCCTTACTTGTGAAATAAGGCTTTGCAGAGGCTTTGGTTGAAAGTGATCCAGAACCCCCATTGTATATACTACTTGTACGGATATGTGACGGTTGTCCTAGTGTGTCTATGTCTTGGATGTGAATGTCAGTCACTCAACGAACAACTATCAGATAAAATAGTTATGTTGAAACTTGGATGGACATAACAGCATTTGTCACACTATATTGTATCTGTGTCAAACTGAATAATTTCATCATAATGTTGTATCAATATATTTTACTGGTACAGTGGGAAAAGTATCAGGCAGAGCTACAGATAACTTTTTGGGTCATTGAGTTATGTACTCGCTCGTGTTCATCTCAATTGGGTATCCTAATTTTCCTTTGAGTAACCAAATATATTGCACTCACCTCACTCAAACTCAATTTGTTATTTTGCCATTTTCCATTAATTGTAAAAATATATATAATAAAGTTTAAATGTTAGTGTTTGTTATTTATATTTGATCTGTAATATGAGAAACGATAAGAAAGACTGCATGTTGTCAAATTTATGTCCTCTCATTATACCTCAGTTATTTTATCCTTCCACCGGTACGCAAGCTATGATTCAACATTTTTGTGTGTACGCATGTAAGATCACATTTATTGAGTATTTACAAATATTCAAGCATACTGGTATGCAAAAGACTTATTAGGAATTGAGTTTTTACATAAATATTTGCGTAATTTACAGCTACGCAGCTTATCTGTACCTCTGTATCAGGGCAAGTGATTTCACATGGGCCACTGTCCCGGTGTACACTAGCAATTTTAAAGTTTTTTCCACCCCTGACTTGTCAAAGTGTTGTTTGTAATCAACCTAGGCACCAGACAAGAACATCTTGTCAAAGTGTTGTTTGTAGTCAACCTAGGTGTTGTTTGCACCAGTGACAAGAACAACCTGTCAAAGTGTTGTTTGTAGTCAACCTAGGCACCAGACAAGAACAACCTGTCAAAGTGTTGTTTGTAGTCAACCTAGGCACCAGACTAGAACAACCTGTCAAAGTGTTGTTTGTAGTCAACCTAGGCACAAGGCAAGAACATCTTGTCAAAGTGTTGTTTGTAGTCAACCTAGGCACCAGACAAGAACCACCTGTCAAAGTGTTGTTTGTAGTCAACCTAAGCACCAGACTAGAACAACCTGTCAAAGTGTTGTTTGTAGTCAACCTAGGCACCAGACAAGAACCACCTGTCAAAGTGTTGTTTGTAGTCAACCTAGGCACCAGACTAGAACAACCTGTCAAAGTGTTGTTTGTAGTCAACCTAGGCACCAGACTAGAACAACCTGTCAAAGTGTTGTTTGTAGTCAACCTAGGCACCAGACTAGAACAACCTGTCAAAGTGTTGTTTGTAGTCAACCTAGGCACCAGACAAGAACAACCTGTCAAAGTGTTGTTTGTAGTCAACCTAGGCACCAGACAAGAACCACCTGTCAAAGTGTTGTTTGTAGTCAACCTAAGCACCAGACTAGAACAACCTGTCAAAGTGTTGTTTGTAGTCAACCTAGGCACCAGACAAGAACCACCTGTCAAAGTGTTGTTTGTAGTCAACCTAGGCACCAGACTAGAACAACCTGTCAAAGTGTTGTTTGTAGTCAACCTAGGCACCAGACTAGAACAACCTGTCAAAGTGTTGTTTGTAGTCAACCTAGGCACCAGACAAGAACCACCTGTCAAAGTGTTGTTTGTAGTCAACCTAGGCACCAGACAAGAACCCCTTGTCAAAGTGTTGTTTGTAGTCAACCTAGGCACCAGACAAGAACCCCTTGTCAAAGTGTTGTTTGTAGTCAACCTAGGCACCAGACAAGAACCACCTGTCAAAGTGTTGTTTGTAGTCAACCTAGGCACCAGACTAGAACAACCTGTCAAAGTGTTGTTTGTAGTCAACCTAGGCACCAGACTAGAACAACCTGTCAAAGTGTTGTTTGTAGTCAACCTAGGCACCAGACAAGAACCACCTGTCAAAGTGTTGTTTGTAGTCAACCTAGGTACCAGACAAGAACCCCTTGTCAAAGTGTTGTTTGTAGTCAACCTAGGCACCAGACAAGAACCCCTTGTCAAAGTGTTGTTTGTAGTCAACCTAGGCACCAGACAAGAACCACCTGTCAAAGTGTTGTTTGTAGTCAACCTAGGCACCAGACAAGAACCCCTTGTCAAAGTGTTGTTTGTAGTCAACCTAGGCACCAGACAAGAACCCCTTGTCAAAGTGTTGTTTGTAGTCAACCTAGGCACCAGACTGTTGTTTGCCATTGTCAAAGTGTTGTTTGTAGTCAACCTAGGCACCAGACAAGAACCACCTGTCAAAGTGTTGTTTGTAGTCAACCTAGGCACCAGACTAGAACAACCTGTCAAAGTGTTGTTTGTAGTCAACCTAGGCACCAGACTAGAACAACCTGTCAAAGTGTTGTTTGTAGTCAACCTAGGCACCAGACAAGAACCACCTGTCAAAGTGTTGTTTGTAGTCAACCTAGGCACCAGACAAGAACCCCTTGTCAAAGTGTTGTTTGTAGTCAACCTAGGCACCAGACAAGAACCCCTTGTCAAAGTGTTGTTTGTAGTCAACCTAGGCACCAGACTAGAACAACCTGTCAAAGTGTTGTTTGTAGTCAACCTAGGCACCAGACAAGAACCACCTGTCAAAGTGTTGTTTGTAGTCAACCTAGGCACCAGACTAGAACAACCTGTCAAAGTGTTGTTTGTAGTCAACCTAGGCACCAGACAAGAACAACCTGTCAAAGTGTTGTTTGTAGTCAACCTAGGCACCAGACAAGAACCCCTTGTCAAAGTGTTGTTTGTAGTCAACCTAGGCACCAGACAAGAACCACCTGTCAAAGTGTTGTTTGTAGTCAACCTAAGCACCAGACTAGAACAACCTGTCAAAGTGTTGTTTGTAGTCAACCTAGGCACCAGACTAGAACAACCTGTCAACGTGTTGTTTCTAGTTAACCTAGGCACCAGACTAGAACAACCTGTCAAAGTGTTGTTTGTAGTCAACCTAGGCACCAGACAAGAACCACCTGTCAAAGTGTTGTTTGTAGTCAACCTAGGCACCAGACTTGACAAGTGATGTTGGTGGCCAAACAATCAAGAGCAACTACTAATGTCATGACTAATTATGCCCTATGTGCTTGCAGTGCATGGATCCCAGAAGAAAGCATACACCTGTATGCTGACAATCGCAACAAGTACAGCCTCACGTCCAGAATCCCTCGCGGCTTTAAGGAGGCCATTGAAGCTATAGAGGATGCGATCAAAGCTCTGCCAGCCAGTGTAAGCTAATGTAGAATTGTGCACACCATTGTGGCCTTGTTTCAGATGTCTTGTATTTTGACATTAACAGACAGTTTGAGAAATCTCCTTCTGCGTCTTACCTGGTATGATAATAATTGCATGGTCAAGTTTTGACTCCCATCAGTCAGAGAATATTTGGTCTTGAAAATGTGAGTGGTTCGCAGGTTCTCTTCTCTTGACCACTTGGTATATTTTCTTTGCTGGATGTTGAGTTCTTCAAAATGTCAGTGGTATATGGCAATACACTTTGCTTGAAGTTTTACACTTAAGTTTTGAAAATAGATTTCCCTGATTATGTTTTCTAAGGAGTTAATTAATGCTTTCTGTAATGTCAGAATAGAAGTTTGATGAAGATGATTAGACTGAGTTAGCACTGAAGATTTCATTACTTGGGATGCTTTAATACCATCAGAAATTGTTTCGGGTTGTTTTTACTTGAAACATCTTGTACATATTTCACTTACCATATGAAGGTGATTGCTAGTAAAATCCCGGACAGCTTTATCTGGCATGAGTGAAGTTTGTACTTACAATGCTTGGTGTATTCCGCTGTTAGACAAGTGATGTCATGTTAGACTACTTGTGCAGCCCAGCAAGCACTGATAGTCGGGACCAAGGTATGTCCTCTTTCAGGTGGCTGTCAAGACCTGTGAACTGCCTTCTATAGATGAAGAGCTGGCTCAGATCTTCCCAACAACCGGCACAAAAAAAGACGGAGCAGCTCACAGAGACTACTCCAGGGAACCCTTAGCTGGCAAGAAGGTAAGTCCACTTGCAGGGACCATTTGCAGCATCAGCATTGCCCTCTATAGACAAAGAATACTCAGGCAGAGCATGGGATCTCACTGAACTGAGTTACCTGGCTAGATGCAGCTCGTTGGTCAGATAGGTGATAAGTTGGGTCTCAAAGAACTGAATCATCTGGCTAGAGGCAGCTCGTTGGTCAGATAGTTGCTAAGTTGGTCTCAAAGAACTGAATCATCTGGCTAGAGGCAGGCCGTTGGTCAGATAGTTCATAAGTAGGGTCTCAAAGAACTGAATCACCTGGCTAGAGGCAAGTCGTTGGTCAGATAGTTGCTAAGTTGGTCTCAAAGAACTGAATCACCTGGCTAGAGGCAGGTCGTGGGTCAGATAGTTGCTAAGTTGGTCTCAAAGAACTGAATTGTCTGGCTAGAGGCAGGTCGTGGGTCAGATATTTGATATGTTGGGTCTCAAAGAACTGAATCACCTGGCTAGAGGCAGGTCGTGGGTCAGATAGTTGCTAAGTTGGTCTCAAAAAATTGAATCATCTGGCTAGAGGCAGGTCGTGGGTCAGATAGTTGCTAAGTTGGTCTCAAAGAACTGAATCATCTGGCTAGAGGCAGGTCGTGGGTCATATAGTTGCTAAGTTGGTCTCAAAGAACTGAATCATCTGGCTAGATGCAGGTCGTGGGTCAGATAGTTGCTAAGTAGGGTCTCAAAGAACTGAATCATCTGGCTAGAGGCAGGTCGTGGGTCATATAGTTGCTAAGTTGGTCTCAAAGAACTGAATCATCTGGCTAGAGGCAGGTCGTGGGTCAGATAGCTTGCTAAGTAGGGTCTCAAAGAACTGAATCATCTGGCTAGAGGCAGGTCATGGGTCATATAGTTCCTAAGTTGGTCTCAAAGAACTGAATCACCTGGCTAAAGGCAGGTCGTGGGTCATATAGTTGCTAAGTTGGTCTCAAAGAACTGAATTATCTGGCTAGAGGCAGGTCGTGGGTCATATAGTTGCTAAGTAGGGTCTCAAAGAACTGAATCATCTGGCTAGAGGCAGGTCGTGGGTCAGATAGTTGCTGAGTAGGGTCTCAAAGAACTGAATCATCTGGCTAGAGGCAGGTCGTGGGTCATATAGTTGCTAAGTTGGTCTCAAAGAACTGAATCATCTGGCTAGAGGCAGGTCGTGGGTCAGATAGTTGCTAAGTAGGGTCTCAAAGAACTGAATCATCTGGCTAGAGGCAAGTCGCTGGTCATATAGTTGCTAAGTTGGTCTCAAAGAACTGAATCATCTGGCTAGAGGCAACTCGCTGGTCAGATAGTTGCTAAGTAGGGTCTCAAAGAACTGAATCATCTGTCTAGAGGCAGCCCATTGGTCAGATAGTTGCTAAGTTGGTCTCAAAGAACTGAATCATCTGGCTAGAGGCAGGCCGTTGGTCAGATAGTTCATAAGTAGGGTCTCAAAGAACTGAATCACCTGGCTAGAGGCAGGTCGTGGGTCAGATAGTTGCTAAGTTGGTCTCAAAGAACTGAATCACCTGGCTAGAGGCAGGTCGTGGGTCAGATAGTTGCTAAGTAGGGTCTCAAAGAACTGAATTGTCTGGCTGGAGGCAGGTCGTGGGTCAGATATTTGATATGTTGGGTCTCAAAGAACTGAATTATCTGGCTAGAGGCAGGTCGTGGGTCAGATAGTTGCTAAGTTGTCTAAAAAAATTGAATCATCTGGCTAGAGGCAGGTCGTAGGTTAGATAGTTGCTAAGTAGGGTCTCAAAGAACTGAATCATCTGGCTAGAGGCAGGTCGTGGGTCAGATAGTTGCTAAGTTGGTCTCAAAGAACTGAATCATCTGGCTAGAGGCAGGTCGTGGGTCAGATAGTTGCTAAGTTGGTCTCAAAGAACTGAATCATCTGGCTAGAGGCAGGTCGTGGGTCAGATAGCTGCTAAGTAGGGTCTCAAAGAACTGAATCATCTGGCTAGAGGCAGGTTGTGGGTCATATAGTTGCTAAGTTGGTCTCAAAGAACTGAATCATCTGGCTAGAGGCAGGTCGTGGGTCAGATAGTTGCTAAGTAGGGTCTCAAAGAACTGAATCATCTGGCTAGAGGCAGGTCATGGGTCATATAGTTCCTAAGTTGGTCTCAAAGAACTGAATCATCTGGCTAGAGGCAGGTCGTGGGTCAGATAGTTGCTAAGTAGGGTCTCAAAGAACTGAATCATCTGGCTAGAGGCAAGTCGTTGGTCATATAGTTGCTAAGTTGGTCTCAAAGAACTGAATCATCTGGCTAGAGGCAACTCGCTGGTCAGATAGTTGCTAAGTAGGGTCTCAAAGAACTGAATCATCTGGCTAGAGGCAGGTCGTGGGTCATATAGCTGCTAAGTTGGTCTCAAAGAACTGAATCATCTGGCTAGAGGCAGGTCGTGGGTCATATAGTTGCTAAGTTGGTCTCAAAGAACTGAATCACCTGGCTAAAGGCAGGTCGTGGGTCATATAGTTGCTAAGTTGGTCTCAAAGAACTGAATCATCTGGCTAGAGGCAGGTCGTAGGTCAGATAGTTGCTAAGTAGGGTCTCAAAGAACTGAATCATCTGGCTAGAGGCAGGTCGTGGGTCATATAGTTCCTAAGTTGGTCTCAAAGAACTGAATCACCTGGCTAAAGGCAGGTCGTGGGTCATATAGTTGCTAAGTTGGTCTCAAAGAACTGAATTATCTGGCTAGAGGCAGGTCGTGGGTCATATAGTTGCTAAGTTGGTCTCAAAGAACTGAATCATCTGGCTAGAGGCAGGTCGGGGTCATATAGAGTTGCTAAGTTGGGTCTCAAAGAACTGAATCATCTGGCTAGAGGCAGGTCGTGGGTCATATAGTTGCTAAGTTGGTCTCAAAGAACTGAATCATCTGGCTAGAGGCAGGTCGTGGGTCATATAGCTGCTAAGTAGGGTCTCAAAGAACTGAATCATCTGGCTAGAGGCAGGTCGTGGGTCATATAGTTGCTAAGTTGGTCTCAAAGAACTGAATCATCTGGCTAGAGGCAAGTCGTGGGTCAGATAGTTGATAAGTAGGGTCTCAAAGAACTGAATCATCTGGCTAGAGGCAAGTCGTTGGTCAGATAGTTGCTAAGTTGGTCTCAAAGAACTGAATCATCTGGCTAGAGGCAACTCGCTGGTCAGATAGTTGCTAAGTAGGGTCTCAAAGAACTGAATCATCTGGCTAGAGGCAGGTCGTGGGTCATATAGCTGCTAAGTTGGTCTCAAAGAACTGAATCATCTGGCTAGAGGCAGGTCGTGGGTCATATAGTTGCTAAGTTGGTCTCAAAGAACTGAATCACCTGGCTAAAGGCAGGTCGTGGGTCATATAGTTGCTAAGTAGGGTCTCAAAGAACTGAATCATCTGGCTAGAGGCAGGTCATGGGTCATATAGTTCCTAAGTTGGTCTCAAAGAACTGAATCATCTGGCTAGAGGTAAGGTCGGGTCAGATAGTTGCTAAGTAGGGTCTCAAAGAACTGAATCATCTGGCCAGAGGCAAGTCGCTGGTCATATAGTTGCTAAGTTGGTCTCAAAGAACTGAATCATCTATTACAGAGGCAACTCGCTGGTCAGATAGTTGCTAAGTAGGGTCTCAAAGAACTGAATCATCTGGCTAGAGGCAGGTCGTGGGTCATATAGCTGCTAAGTTGGTCTCAAAGAACTGAATCATCTGGCTAGAGGCAGGTCGTGGGTCATATAGTTGCTAAGTTGGTCTCAAATAACTGAATCACCTGGCTAAAGGCAGGTCGTAGGTCATATAGTTGCTAAGTTGGTCTCAAAGAACTGAATCATCTGGCTAGAGGCAGGTCGTGGGTCAGATAGTTGCTAAGTAGGGTCTCAAAGAACTGAATCATCTGGCTAGAGGCAGGTCGTGGGTCATATAGTTCCTAAGTTGGTCTCAAAGAACTGAATCACCTGGCTAAAGGCAGGTCGGGTCATATAGCTGCTAAGTTGGTCTCAAAGAACTGAATTATCTTCGGCTAGAGGCAGGTCGGGTCATATAGCTGCTAAGTTGGTCTCAAAGAACTGAATCATCTGGCTAGAGGCAGGTCGCGGGTCGTATGATAGTTGCTAAGCAGGGTCTCAAAGAACTGAATCATCTGGCTAGAGGCAGGTCGTGGGTCATATAGCGCTGCTGCGTTGGTCTCAAAGAACTGAATCATCTGGCTAGAGGCAGGTCGTGGGTCAGATAGTTGCTAAGTAGGGTCTTCAAAGAACTGAATCATCTGGCTAGAGGCAGGTCGTGGGTCATAATATAGTTGCTAAGTTGGTCTCAAAGAACTGAATCATCTGGCTAGAGGCAAGTCGCAAGTCGATAGTTGATAAGGGTCTCAAAGAACTGAATCATCTGGCTAGAGGCAAAAGTCGCTGGTCGATAGTTGCTAAGTTGGTCTCAAAGAACTGAATCATCTGGCTAGAGGCAACTCGCTGGTCAGATAGTTGCTAAGCAGGGTCTCAAAGAACTGAATCATCTGGCTAGAGGCAGGTCGTGGTCATATAGCCGCTAAGGTGGTCTCAAAGAACTGAATCATCTGGCTAGAGGCAGGTCGGGTCATAGTTGCTTAAGTTGGTCTCAAAGAACTGAATCACCTGGCTAAAGGCAGGTCGTGGGTCAGTATAGCTGTGCTAAGCAGGGTCTCAAAGAACTGAATTATCTGGCTAGAGGCAGGTCGCGGGTCAGCAGTAGTTGCTAAGTTGGTCTCAAAGAACTGAATCATCTGGCCAGAGGCAGGTCAGGGTCACAATATAGTTCCTAAGTTGGTCTCAAAGAACTGAATCATCTGGCTAGAGGCAGGTCGTGGGTCATATAGTTGCTAAGTTGGTCTCTGAAACGAAGAACTGAATCATCTGGCTAGAGAGGCAGGTCGCGGGTCAGATAGTTGCTAAGTAGGGTCTCAAAGAACTGAATCATCTGGCTAGAGGCAGGTCGCTAATCATATAGTTGCTAAGTTGGTCTCAAAGAACTGAATCATCTGGCCAGAGGCAACCTCGCTGGTCAGATAGTTGTTAAGCAGGGTCTCAAAGAACTGAATCATCTGGCTAGAGGCAAGTCGGGTCAGATAGTTGCTAAGTTGGTCTCAAAGAACTGAATCATCTGGCCAGAGGCAGGCCGTGTATCAGATAGTTGCTGTTGGTCTCAAAGAACTGAATCATCTGGCCAGAGCAGGGTACGCTGGTCAGATAGTTCATAAGTAGGGTCTCAAAGAACTGAACTCACCTGGCTAGAGGCAGGTCGTGGGTCAGATATTTGATATGTTGGGTCTCAAGAACTGAATCACCTGGCTAGAGGCAGGTTGTGGGTCAGATAGTTGCTAAGTTGGTCTCAAAAAATTGAATCATCTGGCTAGAGGCAGGTCGCGGGTCAGATAGTTGCTAAGTAGGGTCTCAAAGAACTGAATCATCTGGCTAAAGGCAGCCCATTGGTCAGATAGTTGATAAGTAGGGTCTCAAAGAACTGAATCATCTGGCTAGAGGCAGGTCGTGGGTCAGATAGTTGCTAAGTTGGTCTCAAAGAACTGAATCATCTGGCCAGAGGCAGGTCGTCAAAACAGTCAGATAGCCGCTGTTGGTCTCAAAGAACTGAATCACCGGCTAGAGGCAGGTCGGGTCAGATAGTTGCTGTTGGTCTCAAAGAACTGAATCATCTGGCTAGAGGCAGGTCGTGGGTCAGATAGTTGCTAAGTAGGGTCTCAAAGAACTGAATCATCTGGCTAGAGGCAGGTCGTGGGTCATATAGTTGCTAAGTTGGTCTCAAAGAACTGAATCATCTGGCTAGAGGCAGGTCGCGGGTCAGATAGTTGCTAAGTAGGGTCTCAAAGAACTGGAATCATCTGGCTAGAGGCAGGTCGCAATCATATAGTTGCTAAGTTGGTCTCAAAGAACTGAATCATCTGGCTAGAGGCAGGTCGGGTCAGATAGTTGCTAAGCAGGGTCTCAAAGAACTGAATCATCTGGCTAGAGGCAGGTCGGGTCATATAAGTTGCTAAGTTGGTCTCAAAGAACTGAATCATCTGGCTAGAGGCAGGTCGTGGGTCAGATAGTTGCTAAGTAGGGTCTCAAAGAACTGAATCATCTGGTTAGAGGCAAGTCGTTGGTCAGATAGTTGCTAAGTTGGTCTCAAAGAACTGAATCATCTGGCTAGAGGCAACTCGCTGGTCAGATAGTTGCTAAGTAGGGTCTCAAAGAACTGAATCATCTGGCTAGAGGCAGGTCGTGGGTCAGATAGTTGCTAAGTTGGTCTCAAAGAACTGAATCATCTGGCTAGAGGCAAGTCGTGGGTCAGATAGTTGCTAAGTTGGTCTCAAAGAACTGAATCATCTGGCTAGAGGCAGGTTGTGGGTCAGATAGTTGATAAGTTGGTCTCAAAGAACTGAATCATCTGGCTAGAGGCAGGTCGTTGGTCATATAGTTGATAAGTAGGGTCATAGAACTGCTCGTTAGTAGTTTTAATGTATTACTAAACTGTCCCTAATGTTTGAGGATAAAGACATTCCTGTTCAGTCAACTGCAGGCTGCATTACTTCAAGGTTCTGTAACAAGACAGGATTTAAAAAGCAGTTCATGTGATTTTAAGTCCAAATTCTAAACCAAGGAAGATACCAATTGGCTACATTAGTCAGGTACCGTAGTTCTCAGAGCACCACCACCCAAAGAGATGAGAAGTGATGGAAAGAGGGAAATCTGTAATTTGATCTTTAGGATTAAGGTGCAGACTTTCTCGAAAGTATATTAGATTGGTTAAATACTTCCAGCTGATATAGCATGGTTGGTTTGCCTATTGTCTATGCAGGTTAGGTTTGTTGATCTGAGTACCACAGGGGCTTACATCACTAGTGAAGGTTGGCAGCTCTGTACACAGCAAGTCCTCTAGCATCACCCTGGGTTAGATGTTACTGTAAAAAGTCCTCAGTGGGTTAAAGTATAACTACTTCGGCAGTAATGCGGATGTTTGTTATATATCCCTTTAACCACAGTCCTGTGGTAAACGTTATAAAATGGGTTGGTGAGGGTATGACATGTTGCCTCCACCCACATCCACCCCAGCTGCTGACTGCCTCTCACCGCTAGATCTGCACCCTCAACTGGTCTCAGTTATACTTCTGTCACTGCAGTACCTGCCCCCATACATCCATATTTTCCCTTATCCCGACTCATGCTAATTATGCTTGTCTCCTTCCTCTTGTGAATGATAGTGGAACACTTGAAACTCCTTTGAAGTTCCCTTTCTAAAAGCGTGACATAAAATCACCCTCACCCACGAGTAGCGCCCTTTCTTCCCTTTTGGTCACATGATCGGCCATATTTGCAATCACTCTCCTTCTTCGCCTTTGAGGATGGTATTGTGAGAGCACCTTGGGTCCCTATAATGCATGATATCCTTTTATATTTTCGACCTTTACATCAAAATTATTGCTGTATAATGCTTTTTAGGATTATATTCTACATTACGGTTTGAAATTTGATCTAAATTTTCCGTTGTTTGACATTTGTTTTCTTCATGTTTACATGACTGGGTACGAAGGTATTCACAAGTTATGTCTAAATCGAGTGATTGCGCTGATAACCGTGTGTTAACCACTGCTGCAGATATTCATAATTCCAGTGAACGTTTCTCGGGAGCAGGTCGATGTACCAGTGGTGAACGCCGGAGGCCATAAGAGATCATCGTTTACTGAGCTGTCCCCATGGCAGATGAAGAAGGCTAAATCATCATCTTTCGCAGAAGAAGAAGGCTACATAGCATGAAGACTTCAGCCAAGTCTAAGATCAGCTCTACACACCAGAAGACGCAGGTCTTTCTCAGCCGAGATTGTTCCTCCCGAAGAAGCAGATGTTTATGATGATCCACCCATCCTCATACCTGAAGTCACCATCGCCAGTAAGAAGACGGCCTGCTTCTACAGCTACATCGGCATTGTTATCAGCGCAGACATTATTGACAGAAGACCTTCTATCAACGCAGACATCGGGTACTAGAGATAGCAGCAGCAGCGCCAACTCTTCTCACAAGTGCAGCAAGCCTTAGATGACGCCTCTTCAGTATCAGATGCATCATCCCTGCAGCAGTCTCTTCAGACAACGCAGAACTTCAACCCGGACTGTTCATGCAACAGCTTACAGACCAGATGATGTCGATGATGGAACGCCGCCTCGCCAGGAGAAGGCTGCTATGAAGACCTCTACAACGACTACTAGCCTGCGTGAAGGCTCTACAGTCTCCCACCACATCCGAAGTCTCCATGCAGGAAGGAACCGAGGTGTTCTCCAGGAACCCACCTTCGCTGAAAGCCTAGAGAATTATCTCCCAAACTCCAGGAAGGATTCAAGATCGTGATCGATCGCATCGCCTCAAGCCTGGCAAGCTCATCTTACAGATCATCCTATAGAAACCTCAAGTCGCCGCTGGCATCCATAGAGCTGCAGAGATGTCTAAATCAGAGGATGAAGGTGAAGGCATATTCTCTGGATAATGAAGTTAACTCCCCTTTGATCGCCAATGGCTTGACTCTATCATCACCTTCTAAGGACACAGATGAGGCTGCTTACCTACCAAGATGTCCAACGATGATTCTCGACATGCTCACCTTTCCACCCACGACCCGCCATCTCTCGATCGCACTGCAGACAACCCTCTCAGCCAACACCGGTGGAAATTCCCTCTACATAGGATGGAACCCTCCCTGAAGGCTCCAGAGAAGCTTGATGATGACTACAAGATTATCACCGCACCCATGCCCGTGAGAGAACTTCTTACAAGATTGAGGATAAGAAGTTAGCGAGCTGGATACAACCACCAGACATACTTTTCTTCGGATTAGCCAGATCGAGGGCTATCAATGAAACATTCATCCTCAAGTTCAAGAATTCCTCCCAAAAAGTCCCGGGTGATATACTCCGCTTTACTAATGCAGAAGAGGGACCATCAGTTTATGTCGGAGCACCTAGCATCCACATCAACGGGCTTGACTCTCCTGAGAAGACAAAGGTTATTGTCAAGCATGCACTTTGGAGTGAACGCCCACCAAGTCCTTATACAGAGCCCCATGGTCAGCATTTTACATCTTCGAGGAGGAATTGAAGAAGTCTCCAGAGAAGTCTCCTACCTAATCTAAGGGAGGTTATGGTGATTAAATCCATCGACACCTTTTGTTAACGTGGATTCGCCAGACGTCCCCAACGCCATACCCACCAATAAATCTAAGTTTGCAGGAGTCCAGAGAGCCAGAGAAAAGAGGTATTCCAGCATGAAAAGGAGGAAGAGGCTCCTTTCGCCACCCAACCGAGCCTCCCTAGAGGTAACCCCGAAGAGGCTGGGCACCTAAGGGTGCAAGAGAGGAATAGCCAGCTGAAGGCCAGGGTTCGAACGACTGGAGTCTTCCTCTAGCCGCTCCTGTAATAACCTTCGAGCAGTGGGGTGGACGCCTTCAACGGTACTGGGAAAATTGGGGAATACTATAGACTTACTACGTATCCCAGATACTTTCGCGCAGAGAGGATACAAGATACAGTTAAAGCCCGTCATGTCCACAAGCAACCCGATGGCTCTCTAACTATGCAGCTGACCAGATAGACAAACTGGATGATGCTGTCAAGACCCTACTGGTAAAAGAGGCAGTAGAAGAGATAGATCAATATCTCTCATCACGCTTGTGGTTTTACTTCCCAATTTTCCTGGTACCAAGAAGAATTCCAAGGAGAAATTTCTCGCTCATCTGGCCAACATGCAGATTTCAACCAGGAGTATCTACGCAGACCAGCAAAATCAAGATGATACATCTTCCTCAGTCTCTACATTTTGTTTGTCCAGCAGACTACCCTCGCCAGCATAGATCTGCAAGATGCTACTCCACATACCGATACATCCAGACTCAAGGAATAACCTACATTCCTCTTTCAACGGACATCACTTCCAGTGGAAGGTTCTACCATCAGAATATCGCCGCCCCCTGGTTGTTTACTCGAGTGACCAAGCCCATCGCCACATTATCTACACATCGCCGGTGTCTACGAAAGCGCTTCTACCCGTTGACTTACGTATATTCAAGCTCATCAACACGCATCCCAGTCAACTCAGACTGCAGTAACTAGACTTCACCATCAGGCTGCTCACTAACTCAGGATGGCTGGTGAATCTCCCCAAGTCGGAACTGGGAGCCTCAAAACAAGATCTGCAATTTCGTAGAATTGGACCCCATCACACCAGTGATTCGTGATAGTCATTCCAGAGAAATCGCTGGGTCAAGATAACAACAGATTATATCTCAAGCATTGCCTTCCCGCTGGAACACTGCGCACAGCGCGCTAATGCATGCTCAGTCTACTCACCCTCAGCTCGCTATCATGACTCCCCGCAGAGGAGATTACAGTTGCACCCACTACAAAGCTATTTGTGAACGCACACTCTAGACAGTTCCAGATCCGCTATCACTACCGGACAGGATCTGTAGTCACACATCATCTGTATTGAGATAAAAGCAGTAATCAACGCTTTACAACATTGGTCCAGCATAAAGAACGTATGACCTATGGTACATTAATGACAACTCCACAGTGTATGCTTTACATCAACAAACGGGTCAACTAGATCAACAAGTCTGCTACAACTCAGCTTTTCTAGTGTTCAGCATAGTCGACTCCACCTGAACATCTACATGAAGGCATGCTACATCTCGAGTAAAGAATGCTCATAGCAGATGCCCTATCTCGTCTAATTACAACCATCCCTCGACGGAATGGATACGTTGCATCCAGAAGCATTCCAGTTCATCAGACAGGACTATAGGGATCCCCTACTTAATAGACCTTGTTTTGCAACAAAGTTCAACAAACAGCTACCAACGTCATTTCAATCGCATTCCAGATCCTCAGGCATGGGCAACAGACTCTTAGCATCTCAATGGAAGGACTAAACGCCATCGCCGCTACAACTGATTTTGGTCGCCACTTACTGGCCAGCTGAGGGTATATTCTCCGGCCCCCGCACAAGAACCTCGGGAAGTCCTCAAACCCGAAAACTACCAGAGTAGTCGAACCTACTCGACCATCCAATAACTAAGCAAGCTCAATGGAACCCTCGCACTATTCCAGCTACACACGTGAGCTGCATTAAAAGCTTGCCTGAAGACAAGAGGGTACTTCCTCACAGAGCAGAGAAAGCAGTTACACTAGCTCCACGCAGATCAACTCACAACCTGTATGACGACAAGTGGTAGAGATTTGGAATAATATGCAAGAAGAAAGGCTTTACAGCGGCGAAAAGCAAACACATTCCTCGCGGCAGAATACCTCTATGTCATCTATGACAGACGCACGACACTTCTAAAAGTTTCAACACTCTCAACTTACTTAGCTGCCCTCAGCACAGTTATCACCATGAAAACGGGTATCGAGGCTGACCAAAGTACCAGAGATTCTGGCACTACTATTGCCTGTTGGAAGACCAACAAAAGAAATTTAAGGCCCTCTGTCTGGGATCTCAACATAGTTCTACAAAAATTCACCAGCGATGCCTGCTATACTTCCCCAGAACTGACATCCATTTGTGGAACTACTAACTCAGAAAAACGCTTGCTCCTGATCGCCTCTTAGCAACAGCCAGTAAGGATGTCAGAAATACATGCTAGTGGACTTTAACGCAATTTAAATCACCGCCATCGCGACATCGCATTAACATCTCTGACCGAGAGGGGATTTATCGCCAAAACCAACCGCCCGGGTCAGCCCGGACAAGACAGTCCACATCCCGTGCACAATCTGACGATCCCAAATACAGACAACGAAGATTCATCCTTCTTATGTCCAGTCAGAGCACCCTTAAAGTCCAATTCCCCACAGAGAACCAAAACAAGGAGACCCAAAACGAAGCACCTATTCATCCTCTTCTTTATCCACCGATATCACTTCCACAGAAGTCTCTTGGAAAACGAGACGATCTATCTGGACAGACGCTTATACTAAGGGCCTATAAAGCAGCAGGACTTGAGCCTCCACGAAATCAATCCACATGCGAAGTCAGAGCCCTGGCTGGCCAACACTCCTAGTGCCTTGCACGGAAACCGCCTCGACACAACTATAATGGAGGGGCTGCTTTTGCACCAACTAATAGTGTGTTTGCTAACCACTACTCCTACAGAGACATTGGCCACCGAAGACGCCTCAGGCATTCTCTTAGTTTGGGGCTAATTTGTTAGAGTATCAACAACTAATGGTTCCGCCAGCGCTTGAGTAAATCTCACTCCCTTTTATCACGTGGACTTTAGGAAAACGAACGCCTGGAGATAAATGACTACAAGTTCATGCACATGTTCTAGGGACAGACTAGCATGAGTGATGTAGACCCTGTAATTGTGGTTAGACATAATTTGTACATGAAGAAGGGTTTGATTCTCCACTTGATATGCATCAAGAGATGGAGCAGTAATAGATAACTAATGGAATATTAGTACATGTATATCTGGTAATCCACACGAAAATGTCAGGAGAAGTTTCGAAGAAATTCAATTAGGTTGTGGTCCCAGACTCAATGAGAGAAGTTGAAAGAACAGAATCTTCAACAGTGCTCACCATAAGCTGTCAAGTAAAGGTAATAATACAGGATGTAAATCTACAAATCAGTGAATCCCAGAAGGTGGCTCTGACCTAATTCACCGCTCACTCACCGATTCTGGGTAAGCATAATTAACATGAGTTAGAAAAGAAAAATATGTACTTTTCTGACTAAACTTGATATTTTATAATTTATCCTG